TTCCAGGCTGCAGTGATACAGTGAGCTATAATAACATCACTGTACTCCAGCTTGGGCAACAACTCTTGTCTCAAAAAAAGTGGCTCTGTTAATATTTAGATTGATGTAGAAAGATGCCAACAATATGGGGAGAAACGCAAATTGCAGTCAGGTTTCATATCCCATTTTGGTTAAAAAGTAAATAATGGACTGGGCATGGTGGCTCACACCTGTAATCCTAGCATTCTGGGAGGCCAAGGCAGGCAGATTGAGCTCAGGAGTTTGAGACCAGCCTTAGCAAGAGTTAGACCTTGTCTCTACTAAAAAAATAGAAATCTCTTTTTAATAGAAATCTATTTTTTATATATAATTAACCGGGCATGGTGGCGCATGCCTGTAGTCCCAGCTACTTGGGAGGCTGAGGCAGCAGGATCGCTTGAGCCCAGGAGTTTGAGGTTGCTGTGAGCTAGGCTGACGCCACGGCACTCTATCCCAGGCAACAGAGTGAGACTCTGTCTCAACAACAAAAATAAATAAAGAATAATGAAATGAAATACGTGTTCATATATATAGCATAGGCGATAATGTGAAGGAATAGACCCCCAAACTCCTAGTGGTGGTTTGGGGAGATTGGACGGACAAAAGAGGTGCTCACTGTTCGGGTATTTTTTTTTTTTTTTTGCAAATTTCTATTCTTTTCCGATTAACATGTATATACTTTCATAATAGAGAAACTAAAATAATTTAAGATAAATGTTGTAACAAAATGGTAACGTACACCGTTACCCCAGTTAAAGGGTGTGTGTATTACCACACAAAATACCCCCCCCTACTGTGTCACACGTGTGTTCACACGTGTGAGATGTGTCATTGGAGGGATACACCAAAACAGTAACAGCGATAGCAAACAGGCAGAGGGTAATTCACTTAGGCGTTAGACTTGAGGACATACAGTTTTAAGTTGGTTGCTTGGGTGCAATCTCACCTGGAAGGGTCGCGTGCAGATAATGTCAAGAGGTGAGTTAAAAAGTAATTTTCTGTGCTCCAATCCATCAATGATCGATGTAATCGTTACTTTTACGCTTTGGAAAACTGAAGCGTCGCTTGGTATATGATATCCACACTTCCTAAAGCAAATACTGTTTCTCTGAAGCCTGTCTGACCTTGATGCTGCAGTTTTCCAGTCTTTGTTTTCCTAGCTGCCGTGTTTCACGTTGGGCAGGCGGTTCAAGAGAAGCACTCCTGTGACCGTTGTGCACTCGTGGAGGCCCGTGTCTCTTTGTCTTGCTTTAAGGGACACCAGTCCTAATTTTGGAATTTAGGTAAGGGCCCCTAACCAAGCAACTTCCCCATTCCCGCACCCATACGTTAAGACAAACGACAATGAGAAAGTTGGCCTCAGAGCGACAGTTAGGCGCAAGTAAGATGAATGCAGCGTCTCGGGACAGATAGTTAAGAGTGCGGATCTAATCGATCAACTGCCTCGTGGGGCGTGTCTACGTGTACATAGCATGAGCACTCTTTTGACCACGGCACTTGGACAACTTGGCTTCTCTTCTTTCTTGTCTGGATCACGCACATAGCTTGGTGTATCACAGAATTTGGTAATCAGGGTGGCCTAGCCAGCTGTGTATTCCTTTATAGTATTAGATTTAGCTCGCACCAACTCTTCATGAACATTTCGCTCGATTTGTTTAATATCCAATCATCATCAGAGAATGTGTTTACTCCACCTCTCAGATATATGTTGATGAGTATTCAAGGTGTGTTCTCCTTTTTTTTTAAATCAGCACTTCAAGGTACTTCTAAAAGTTTCAGCGTTTTGAGATGATACATGGACATCAGCGACTTAGGTGCTGTAGTGTGAGGGTCATTGTTGTGTCGTTGTCTGATCTCACGGTGGGAACCTGGGTCTCGCTGTGGCTCGCGCTGTGCGAATCCGTATAGCGCGCAGCAATGCCGCGGGTGTACTGTGGGGTGTTTACCGCGTTGAAACAGACCGCGCCAGAGCTTGCTGTTTGTCTTTTTCATATTTGCAGTGAAGGGCCCTACAGGAACTCCGAGTGGTTTCAATCACACTGGTTCCCCAGGGGTCGACTCCCCTCGTCCAGCCATTTCATTAGTACACAGGGATGAGAGTGAGCTTTAAAAAATCACACTAAAGGGATTCTCTCCATTTCTAGAGATGAAATGCGTGGTTG